TCGTGTCCTACGTGCTCCGGCACCACGCCTTTTGGGCGAAGGCTGAGAATGCTCGGCGGTTGGACGAAGTGGAGGAGGCAAGCAATGTTTCTCCGAAGTTCCGATTGCACGCCGTCCGACACGGCACATTTTGCTTCAAGATGAAATGTCTAAGAGCGAACCTTGTCCAGGCAGATGTGGCGGAACTGCCAAAGAAGCCCAAGTCCTTGCTTGAACGCCTCGAGCGGAGGCGGAAGACGAGGCCTGGGAGTGCCTTGCACAAAAAAACTGCTCACTTCTTGGCCATTGGGAAGGCATCAGACAAATCAGATAAGCCTCACCTCTTCCGAACACTTGTGCAGAAAAGGGTCCAGGCTCGCAGTGCCCTTTTCCCGGAAAGACTCATTCCACAATTGCAGTTCTACAAATGTCAGGTTGGCTGCGGAGAGGGCGCAAAAGGACAAGCCCTTCGAGCACCTGCAGAGGATACCGCCTCTGCCGGTCCCGAAAAAACCCTTGGAGTTTCGCGTGCTGTCAAGTGAGGAGCAGGTTCGTGAAGCTGCCGAAAGGTTGAAGAACTGTGCGGCCAGTTACATTCGCAAGGTCGTCGCGCAGGAGTGCGCTCTGGTCGGCTTGTTCGACAAAAAGAAAGGTGACGGCAACAAAATGTCCGAAATCATTGCCATGGGTGAGCTCTTTGCCGAGGGATCTGTATCTGATGGGAGGATCGTCACGAGCTGGGGGCAACGAGTACGGGCGTGCAACAAATCGCTGACGAGGGCGCAAAAAAAGCGCTTCAACTGGGCCGGAGAGCAGTTCTCCAAGCTGTGGACGAAGGCCGTTCAAGATGAGCTAGACGCAGTCTTGCCAAGGCAGGCAGCAGGCGAGAGAGTGATCGCCAAGCCCGTGGACCAAAGGTTGTTGGCTTTTCGGCACCTCAGCGTTCTGGGCCTTCAGGGCGCTCTGAGGAAGCTTGCAAGGGTCATCGAGAGCGAAGGCTACACCCCCGAGAGGAAAAGCCTCGCGCAAGGCTTCGTGGAGCATGCGCTGGCCACTCGTGTGGGAGGTACCATTCCTGACGTGATCGTGGGGAGTTGTCTCGCTATGGCCGGTAAGGCCCAGGATTCCCGCCTTCTCCGAACCATCAGCAGAAAATCAAACAAGATCATCAGAAAGGAAGGAGATCTGACGATGAAGCAGTGGACGGACTTTTGGTTGTCGGACTTACCGATGGACCCCGGGATTCTGGCTGAGGAGATGTGCAGGCTGCTGCGCACATTGCCCGAGCAGGAGAAAGAAGCAACCGAGCTTGCCGGACGAGTTGTGGGGCGTCTCCTGACTGCCAGACTTGGCAAGGGGGGGTTGCGCAGTGTGGCACGCAGTGTGTTGGATACAGTTCGTCAGCTCGACGGGAATGCGAAGCTAACGGTGCTGCTTTCCGACCTGCCATTCCAGAAATCTGACTTGATGGACACTTTGATGTCTGCTGCGAAGGCTCGCGATGCTTCTCTCGTAGACGGTATCATCTCGAGGCTCTTGAAATCTGAAGTGGGGCCCAAAGAGACGAAGGAGGTGCTGGAGCAAGCTCTCCGACTTGACAAGGACGCGAAGCTTCTCGTGCTGCTTTCCGACCTGCCATTCCAGAAATCTGACTTGATGGGCACTTTGATGTCTGCTGCGAAGGCTCGCGCTGCTTCTCTCGTAGACGGTATCATCTCGAGGCTCTTGAAAGCTGGAGCGGGGCCCGAAGAGACGAAGGGGGTGCTGAAGCAAGCTCTCCGACTTGACAACGACGCGAAGCTTCTTGTGCTGCGGTCGTGCTTGCCCTTTTCTAGCTCAGACTTGGTGGGCGCATTGACCGAACCTTTGATGTCTGCGGCGAAGGCTCGCGATGCTTCGCTCGCCGACAGGATCATTTCGAGGCTGTTGAAAGCTGGAGTGGGGCCCAAAGAGACGAAGGAGGTGCTGAAGCAAGCTCTCCGACTTGACAAGGACGCGAAGCTTCTCGTGCTGCTTTCCGACCTGCCATTCCAGAAATCTGACTTGATGTGCACTTTGACTGAGCAGTTGATGTCTGCGGCGAAGGCTCGCGATGCTTCGCTCGCAGACAGGATCATCTCGAGGCTCTTGAAATCTGGAGTGGGGCCCGAAGAGACGAAGGAGGTGCTGAAGCAAGCTCTCCGACTTGACAACGACGCGAAGCTTCTTGTGCTGCTTTCCGACCTGCCATTCCAGAAATCTGACTTGATTTGCGCTTTGACTGAGCAGTTGATGTCTGCGGCGATGGCACTCGATTCTTCGCTCGCAGACAGGATCATCTCGAGGCTCTTGAAAGCTGGAGCGGGGCCCAAAGAGACGAAGGAGGTGCTGCGGCAAGCTCTCCGACTTGACAAGGACGCGAAGCTTCTCGTGCTGCTTTCCGACCTGCCATTCCAGAAATCTGACTTGATGGGTACTTTGACTGAGCAGTTGATGTCTGCGGCGAAGGCTCGCGATGCTTCGCTTGCAGACAGGATCATCTCGAGGCTCTTGAAAGCTGGAGTGGGGCCCAAAGCGACAAAGGAGGTGCTGAAGCAAGCTCTCCGACTTGACAAGGA